ATTGAAGAAGGCATTGTATGGCTTGAAGCAAGCACCTAGACCATGGTACTAGAAGTTGAGGGATTTTCTACTCTCTAAAGGATTCATTATGGGCAAGGTTGACACCACTCTCTTCACCAAGAAGATTGGCAAGGACTTGTTTGTGTTGCAAATCTATGTAGATGACATCATATTTGGATTAACCAATCAAGACTATTGTGAAGAGTTTGGAAAGATGATGGCTAATGAGTTTGAGATGTCCATGATTGGAGAGCTTAGTTACTTACTTGGTCTTCAAATCAAGCATTTGAAGAATGGTATATTTATGAGTCAAGGCAAGTACATTAAAGGACATGCTCAAAAAGTTTGGCATGAAAGATGCAAAAGCAATTAGTACACCTATGGGAACGAATGTAAACTTAGATAGTGATGCAAGTGGCAATATGGTGGATCAAAAGATGTATCGATCTATGATTGGAAGCCTACTCTATGTGACCGCATCAAAGACAAATATGCTGTTTAGTGTATGCATGTGTGCAAGATTTCAAGCCTCTCCAAGAGAAAGTCATTTGAAGACAACAAAGAGAATATTGAGGTACTTAAAGCATACACAAAATATTGGATTGTGGTATCCCAAAGGAGCTAGATTTGAGTTGATTGGATATTCAGACTCCGATTATGTGGGATGCAAAGTTGAGAGAAAGAGCACTTCAGTCATATGTCAATTATTGGGAAGATCACTTGTGTCTTGGTCATCGAAGAAGCAAAATAGTATAGCACTTTCAACCATGGAAGTGGAGTACATTTCGGTCGGTAGTTGTTGTGCTCAATTACTTTGGATGAAGGCTACTTTGAATGATTTTGTAATCAAGTTCAAACAAGTGCCATTGCTATGTGACAGTGAAGTGCCATGAAGCTCACCAACAACCCGGTTCAACATGCAAGAACAAAGCACATAGATGTCCGCCATCATTTCATAAGAGATCATCAACAAAAAGAGGACATTTCAATTGAAAAGGTGGGCACCGAAGATCAACTTACCAATATTTTCACCAAGCCACTTGATGAGAAGAGGTTTTGCAAGCTAAGGAATGAATTGAACATATTAGACTTCTCAAATATGTGTTGATGCACCCCCATTATATGACATGCCTCTCCTTCGAGCAAAGCAAGGTAAAATTGGTTGACATGTCATTCATCCTTTGCTAAGGACTTGTTTAATGCATCTAGTCATTCCTCATGTTTTATAGGCTCATTCATAAAAATCAAATGAATTTGATGCTTGTATGGTCCCACTATTGCTTCTATGTTTGAAATGATCTAGTGGTAGCATATGACATGTTTGTGGTACAAGGTAACCCTTACTTTGAGGTGTGAAGAAGCTTGTTCTTGGATCAAACCGAGTTGAATATCTTTTGCAAGTAATCTAGATTGAACCAAATTTGGGAAAATGATCCTCACTTAACAATACTTTCACTATCTAAATTTTAGAGCTCACCTTTTGTGGTCTTCGATGACAAAGGGGGAGAAAAATTCCCAAAGATATTGCAAAAGGGGGAGAAGTTTTAAGATAGGAGAAAGGAAGGGGATCAATTACAATTAAAATTTGAAGCACACAAGTAGGGGGAGCAAGCTCATAAACTTGTATGTTACATTTGGATGTGCATTACATATGTTTGCTTGCATGTCACAAGTTTTTAAATTCTCTATCCATACTTGTATGGTGTATGCTAGTTGTAGGTTTGAATGATGAAATAAAAAAACTAGCATGCATAGGATAGCTAGACACTTGAATTGGTTTTCACAAGTGGTACTAGAGCCTTGCTTCTAATGTTGATCTCATGAGGTATCTAGTTTATCTTTGTAATTTTCAAGTGGTATCTAGCAAACAATGGTGCTAAGGATGGTGTTCAAATGATAACTCTGATTGGTATCACGCTTCAAAAGTCCATTCTTTACACCTTAGAATCTTTTGGTAGACATTACTTCCCACGCTTCCTATCTATGCATATGTGCAAGCTTTCAAATCCAAACTTTTAGCACATATGTAGGGGGAGCTAATGCTATCAATTCGGGTTTATGAAACTTATCCATATCCTTTACACATGGTAAAATACTTGGGCAAACAACACAAATCTAAAAGGTTTTTATTGAATATCTTTGTGAAAAGATTGTCATCAATTACCAAAAAAGGAGAGATTGAAAGCCCTAGTTTGGTTTTGGATAATTGATGAAACCTATGGACTAATCCTAGTGCTAAGTGTATAGACAAGAGAGGATAGTCCATTCCAAGTTGTGGAGCAAGAGGATAATCATGGTGGATGGTGATGACCAAAAGATGATCAAGTGCTCAACTTGAAAAAGAAGAAAGAGAAAAACAAAAACAAGGTTGATCAAGGCAAAGGTATCAAATAGGTTTTTGTTTTGGCACTCAAGACACCATAGAGGATGAGAGTGTGTTTAGGATCGATAGCCGTACTATAAAGAGGGGAAATCTTTGTCTAAACGGTTATCGAGTGCCACTAGGTGACATGATTCTTGCATATGCATTAGGGACCTAGTGTGCTAACAATTCCCCTTTGAAAAATGCTAACACACAAGCACACAAGTTACACACTTTGTGGTTAGCAACTTGAAAGCAAGGGTGAAGTGGTTGCGAAGTTAGAAAAAAAAGGAAGAGAAGGCACGCGACCAGACTCTAATTTTGGGCTGACCGGACTCTAGGTTGGCAAGTCCGGTGCCAAACCCTAAGCCTTGGTCTGTAGAGGTGGTGCGATCGGACGTAGCGTCAGACGTTGGCCTAGCGTCTAGTCACTGGTGAGTAGAGAGGGCGCGATGTGGGCTTGCGAGTAGACGCAGGAGGGCTGGCGCAACCGGACGCGCAGGGGGTGCATCAGGTTCATGCTGACATACGCTGGCGTCACTGCCCTCGCGAAGCTTGTACCAACCAGACGTTGGGGTGCGTCAGGTCATCCCTGATCGGACGCGTCCGGTCCAATAAAATGATCTCTGGTGCCTTACTGGAGTCGATCTGATGCTAGGGCGTTTAGGGTTTGGTCATGGGTAGTGGCATGTCTGGTCCTAGGCAAGTGCGCGCATAACGGTCGAATTCAAACGTGATGACGTGGCGCGCAGTGACTGGCCTGTTTGGGGGATCAGACGCACCTGACCTAACTCTGGGGTGAGTCCGATCAGTGAGTCCGGTCGGCTCCCCGAGGCACCAACGACTGTTTGAGCTTGGGGCCTCTATAAATAGAACTTGGGCGCCTTGGGCTCACCATCTTGGACATTTTCACCTGTGATACATTCTTGTGAGCCTAAGCAAACACCTCCCACTCATCTTCATCATTGATTCATCATCATAGTGAGATTGTGAGTGATTACTTGTGCATTTGCTTGAGTGATTGCATCTAGTGGCACTTGAGGATGCTTGTGGCTGCGGATTTCTTGTTACTCTTGGTGGTTGCTACCACCTAGATGGCTTGGAGCAGCGGAGAAGCATCGGCACGAGTTGGTGATTGTTCGTGGCCGTCTTTCGGTGATTGTGAGGGATTTTGTGCCTTCCCCGACGGAGCGTCGAAAGATAACTCTAGTAAATTACCCGTGTCATTGAGTTACCTCACTTGTGGTTAGGTTCTTACGGTGTCCATTTGTTGGACTAGGTTTGTGCAACACCTATTAGCCGCTGAACCACCAAGTGTTGGTCGACACAACGGGGACTAGCGTGCCGGCAAGCACGTGAACCTCGGAAGAAAAATCGTGTGCCATTCTTGTGATTGGATTTCTCCCAGTGATTGGTTGGTTTCATATTGTTATTGATTCACTCCTCGACATGGCGGTATAATCACCTTACTTATTCCTTTACATTTCTTGCAAACTAGTTGTCAAGCTCTTTAGTGTAGTTAGTCTTTGAGAGCTTGTTAGTTTGGTTAGTCTGGCTCTTTAGCTAGTCTTTGAAAGCACACTAGCTTAGTGAGTAGTGACTTAGCTTATTGTATGCCTAGTGATCATAGCAACTAGAATTGTTGAATATGTGGCTTGCAACCCTTGTAGAGCTAGATCAAAATTGCTTTATGTCATTTGTTGTACTAATCAACTACTCTAATGCTTTATAGAGTTTTAAATAGGCTATCCTTTTAACCATATTAAGACATTTCAGGTGCCTCATCAGTAAGATAAAGCATGACGAACCTGGAAGCGGTGGATCAGAGGTAGGTGACAAGGGAAGCGGGAGGGGGCCATGGATCGGCGCGTGGCGGTGACGGGTGGTGAAGGAGCAGGTGTCGCTGTGAGCTCGAGCTGGGCCCCGGGCAGTTGGCAACCTCCGGCGAAATCGGCCAAAGCGAATGAAATTGAGGGAAGCAGGTGTCAATCCTCAATTGAATCACGGCAAGGGAGGCGGGGAAGATGGATCGATGAGGATTGCAGATGACGAATTTAGGGATTGGAAAGTTGGGGAAAAAAGGAGAACCGACAAACCGCCATTCTTCCTCACTACAGAGACTCCTTAGAGGACCCGAAAAGGATTAAAAATATAAAAAAGATCCTACGTTGAAAATAAGAAGGGATGGATGTCATGAATGAGAGTTTGCTTTGTCGCTTCATGAAAATATAAGGCCATAGATTTGATTATGAAGATGCACGGTATTTATTTTCATCTGATCATTTTTCTTATAAAATGACAATTAAGTCATAAATAATTTTTTTACTTAATAAATTTGATTATGAAGATTAAAAGCAATGCACTGTAGGGCTTTGGCTTCGGCCTCAGAGCATTCGGCATGGAGCCACACTGAATACGACTTTAATAGTCGCACCTCCTCTATTTGGCTCTAGCTTGGTCTGCAAACGCCTCAACTTTTGCACATGCCACCTTTCACAAAGCCAACATCGAGAAAGTCAAAGCCAAATGCAAAAACTCAAACAAACAGGGTTCGGCGAAAAAAAAGCGGGAAACAGAGCCAAGTGGGGAGGCGAGACGACGGAACGGAAAGCATCGAGGCATCAAGCACGCCCCTGAAATGGCGGAGCCGCCTCGCGCCGCCGTCTGCCCGACAAACTGGAGGAAGGAGGCGGATGAGCGGCTTCGGCGCCTCCACTCCCTCCTCTTCGGCGCCGACGCGGCGCTCGAGCACGGGGACGCCATGGTGGCGCAGGCGCTCGCGCTCCGCCTCCTCGGCTTCCTCGACTCCCAGGCCCTAGCCGCAGGCGCGGACCCCGAGGATGCCGCCTTCGTCGCGCCCATTCGCGCCGCGGCTTCCGCTCGGCTAGCCGCCACCTCACGCGCCCGCATCTCTGACTCCGACCGGTACGGAACACTGCCCCCGTCCCCGTGCAATCGACCCCCTCCCTATTTCGCGTCCGAACTCGTGGAACGCGACGGTAACTATGCGGACTGTCCAGATCCGAGGAATCTACTGCAGCTACATTACGCAGTTTGCAAATATAAAATATTATAGTTCAGTTGCTGAGACGTTGCTACAAAAAAAATTGCCTCGATTTACTGTATGTGTGGTTTGGTTCTCACCGATCTTTGGAATTTCCGTTCTCGATGTCTTCTATTCATCTATTCTCATCCATATGAGATGTGGATGCACAGCAACACAGGTATTGCAGTAATATTTCCAACCAGAAATAACATTTTGCAAAGTGCATGTGTAGATGGAAAGATATCCTGCTATTTCTTTGCATGCACATGCTCTTTGATGTTGCTGCCGATTGCCATGCTAAGGAATTCTCATTGAAACTACTTGCTCAGTTGCTCTAAGTAGCAGAATACTAGTCAGCTGGTATATGTGCTAAAGTCAGAATCTAACATGGGCAAACATGTTAGTAGTGGGTAAATGGAATGTTCATAGCAAAGGCATATTCAAAGTTGATGGTGCTATTCCACCAATATTAAGGTTATGCAAATATTTGGGGTGCCACCATGTCCTACAAAGGATTTGGTGCTATCTAAGTTCTGTAATTGAAGCGGCAGCCTCATCCTATATAGGGCTCACTAGAGTAATAATATTTTGTTTTTCTTATTTCTTTCTCGTTGTTTAATGTTTATGTTTTATTACCTTGGACAATTCTTTCTCTTTCTCATGTGTGAAACATGTCTCAATTGTGTACCATCTCACAGATATATTGTTTTGAGACCAGCACCTGTATTATAGTGTGCTAGCGTGAGACCAAAAAGGGTATGTGTATCATAGGACATGATTAAGCATTCGAGGTTTGAAAAAAGTCTAAATTAAGAAATGCTTGTGCAAATTTAAACCAATATTTGGAACTTCATAAACAGGAATATTTGAAGCAACTTTAAAAATTGTGAAATGTCTCTTTATCAACCCTGGAAGTAGTAAAAGTTGGCTTTTGTTTATTTGTCTCTTTTAGTTTATTTACAATAGCTGATGAAAACTGTTATGTAATTTTCAGCCCATTGTAATATATATTCATATACAAAAAAATCATTGGGCCTGTTCGGCAGGACTGAAAAATACTGTTCCGGCTGATTGTTGTGAGAGAAAAATACTTTTCTGGCAGGACGTGAACAGTGATTCTGTGAGGTGGCTGGCTAGCCGGCAACCAGCCAGCCGAACACGCCCATTGTTTTTGCTCGTATGTGCTTGGATTCTTGAAGATTACACTATAATGTGTACGGTCTTAAATACATTCCTCTTTACGTGTTAATACTTGCCATTGTTATGATTTAGTTCAGTGCAGCTTTTGAGCTCGCAAGAACGGATGTTGGCTGTGTTTTTGCAAAGCAGGGTGACAATAATGTTGAAAGAATCCTGTCGGGTTCATAAACCCGGGGTCCCTCGGGGACCGGCTTCGACGTCCGGGCTCGGCCCAGGAAAACAGCCTGTAGCTCATGGGCCGGCCCAAAAAAGTCTAAAAAATAACAGACCGGAGGGACAGACCGGTCGCCGACCGGAAGGTCCACCGAAAGGACGAACGCCTGCTCGACAACTTCTTCGGCCCACCTCTCCGACCGGAGCGCTCGCCTCGGGCGCCGGCCGCCTCCGGGCGGACTCTCCGGCCGAAAGGCCTGGCCCAAAATGCTGCATCCTACTCCGACCCCGCGTCTCCGACCGGAGACTCGTAGGAAGCCTGCTTACCGCTCTTCTCCGACTGGCACGGCCAGTACCGACTGGAGCCATCCGACCGGGGATTCCCGCTCGGAAGGGACCAGGGGCGAACGGAGAAAGCAGCACACAAAGTCAAAACACGGTACGAGGACCATACCCTGTACGCCTGCGGGAACAGTGCTCCACAACAGACCTGACACAAATAGTATGAGAGGTACCGACATTTGTGACTATAGTATTATAGGCGCCGACAGTTATGTCTACAGTATTGTAGGCGCCGTAGGGGCTCCCATGCGGCAAAAAGGCCCCCCACATGCCTCTGGGCATCGATAGTGGGCACCAGGATTCACCATGCCTGGTACACATGGTGGGGCTCCTCATATGCTAACAACATTTCGTAGGTATCGACGTCCACCCTTCCTGAAGAAGCCAAACACAACCTCCCATGTGCACCTGACATTCTACAGCGACATCAACAGTATTATGCGTGCCAACCATCATCACTACCCTCATTCGGCGTGGGCAACAAGACTTAGAAACATCCGTACTCTTTCCCTCTCACCTGTAAAGCCACCCCCTTTATCTATAAAAGGGGATACGCTCCCTCCAACAAAGAGGATCGATTTTCCAGAGGTCCACTTCTTCAAGCTCAGGCTCACTAGATCGATAGCTCAGAAACCCCTCAAGCACATGCTTGAACACCTAGCTCATACACTACACCATGACCCACTTTTCCCTACAATTATGTGTTGGTAAATCATAGGTTTTAACTACATATTATGTGTTGGCAATTGTATAATGCTTTAGTATCAAATAAACTGTTGCCAATAATACTGAAAGGCTACAATTTATGGGTCGGCGTTTCTCCTTCTGACAGAAAAACTGTCGGCGAAAGTTTATAGACAAAATAAGTGTCGTTGTAGGTTAAACGAGCCACAATCTAAGTGTCGGCGAAGCCTAGGAGGCGGGGAAACAAAACGAAAACGCATCAGGCACCAAAATAGAAGCGTGTGCGGAGGCTAAATAATTGAGCCCGCTAAAAAAGCAAATCATGGCCACCTCTCCTTAAAGCCCATCCACTACTCCCGCACACCCGAAGAAAAAAAAACGCCTGCAAGAGAGCCGCTGCCGGGCGCCGCCGCTGGGCGCCACAGATGCCCCTGCTCGCCGCCGGGCGCCACCGGCAGGTGCGGCCGACGCCACAGCAGCTGCCGGCGAGCGAGATTGCCGCCGCCGCAGCAGTGGATCTCGCGCTTGGTGTTCTCCAACGACGGTTATGCATTCAGGTACGTCGCATCTCCCATCTTGTCCTCCGCATCATTCCCTTCCCCTCATCCCCATTCCCTTCTTGCTAGGGTTTGGGCGCAGCTTAATTTTGTTGAGATGGTGATGACTGAGCGACGACCGTGGTTGCTGCCGCTGCTCTACACCTTTGTCGAGCCCTTCTCCGTCGACGAGCACACACCAGGTATGCCCACCGCTTCTATTCCCTTTGCTGTTGTGTGAAACCGAGCACCCAAACCCTGAGTCAAACTATTTATATTTGGATCTGATCTAATTAAAGTATATCATGTCGATTTTTTTGTGAAAATTATCGTCTGTACATGTGTACACCCATGTCCTTTAGTGTGTCCTCCCTTGCGTGCAGATGGATTTGTAATCCTTGCTAGGCGTATGGAAATTTTGCTTGATTGTAGGGCAGTTTTTGCTATTAGGTAGTAATACTACTTTTGTTCTTTGCTTTCCTTGATCTGAAATATAGAGAAAAAACATTAGAACCTTTGTTGCCTGTTGTGATTGGCATCCTAGGCTGCCATGTGCTGTAATGCTCAGCATTGTTTCTATTAGAATTAGATCCACACATCCTTCATGTTTTAACTTGGATGGTCTTGTTGAAGGTTATGGGGGCTTACCCAACCTCGGTGTCCCCTTGTGCAATTGCTGGCTGTTCTCCCAAAGTTGAAACTTTGCAGATCATTTTGAACAAAAGTATATATTACCTGTATTAATGGAAATTTGCAGTCATGACTTAGTTCCTTCTAGACGGTGATTCATTTCTCTACTTGCTTCTCGATGGTGTTACTGTTCTGGAAACCATTTCTGCAGAGTGCATTATGTGGATATGAAGCATGAGTTTGCGTTTGTTGTCCAATGGAAGCCAATCGATTGTTGAGTTTGCAAAAGGGTAAGCTACAAGAGCCCTCTGTATTATGTAATTTATTCCTTTTCCTGCCTTGTGTTTTTCCCTTTCTTTTACCACACTACCATTGCTACATGGGCTCATCTTATCCTTTCCCAAAATCCTTGAAGCTCCTAAGGAAGAAGAGGTTTCCCTTCTAGAAATTTTCAGATGAGCTTATTGTCTAAAAGATGTGCCAATTATGTCGCTATGTTTTTGAACAATCAAAGAATTTTTCATCTTAGTTTACAGTTCAAGTGGAATGTCTAAGTACACTACGAGTTTACTCTGAGCTTGAATACTTAAACTCTCTCATGCAGTTTCCATATTGTAAAAAGGGCAGCCCCAGTGCACGTAGCTCCCGCTTGCGCAGGGTCAGGGGAAGGGTCCGACCACTTGGGATTAAATGAACTTGGTCTGGATAGAACAGGGAAAATACCCATCAAAACTATATTGTTGACTGGCCTGGAAGCAATAATATTTGAACGGTTGCACCTGACTTTAGGATATAGCAATGACTCTAGAAATAAACTTACTAGTGCTTTGATGTGAAGAATTGTACTTCACCTTTAATGTTAAGAATTTATTTTATGGTTTTCTATTGCATGTATAACACTGTCTGCTTGCTGTTTCCTTGTGTGACTGTATTTTTGTTATGTGATATTTTTCCTTTCGACGTTTCATACTCTTACTGAATGTGCAATTAAGATTTTACTTTGGGCTCTTATGAAGGCCCATTGATTATATATGTCAGCTACAGGGCTTGGCAAAGTCATTCTCAAATTACCATGATGAAGTCCTGGTATGTCTACTGTCTGATGTAAACTTACAAGCCTAAAATTATCATGTAAAACTTGGTGCAAAGCGTTCTAATTATTCACCACTTGTTGTACTTGGTAGTCTACAAGAATGTAACTGCAGTTCATATGTATTTCTAGTCTTCTTTCCTGGTGAATCAGGTTTCATTACCTGTTTTACTCGAAAACCTGTGGCGCGGCATTGCCCCACCTTTCTACAATTTTCCTTTTCCTATCTTATATTATGGCATTTTGTGTCATGCAGTGAAATTCAAGGATATTAAATAGGTGGCTTTATCAAGAGAAAATATGAAAATATCAAGTATTTCCAAGGTTTTGCTTACCCAGTGTATTTCTTTCAACTAAAATTAAATTGTAAAAAATACAAACTTGTATCTTTATTT